CAAAGCCACAATTGGAAAGTGAGATTACCAGAAAAACCAAGTAAAAAATGACTGTGTTCTTAAACTCCTATAAGTTAAGATTTCCTTGCTTTAAAAGAGTGGGTAACATTGTATGTAGATATGTTGGGGGAATATAGTAAAAAAAAAAAAAAAAAAAATCAGTTTCAAACTAGTCCTTTTTTTTTTTTACATTAAAAATTAACATCTTTAAAACTCAAATGTGAAATCATTGTTGAAGCAGAAAAGTTGTAAGTTGCAAAAACAAAAGGCAAAAAAGTATTACATGTCCTTGTTCCCACATACTGCTATTCAACTCACTTGCAAAATAAAAGATGATTTCAGGAAGATCAGTAATATTTTAAACTAAGATACACCCCCTCAGCAATAAGAGAACATAGTAGTTCAAAATTCAGCGTATCATGGGGGTTTAATGAATAGTCTGAAATAGCAACTTTAAATATCCCTTGGTACCCCGACATTCGCTATTCTAATCCTCTGGTTTGCCTACTTATTACTTTTCAGGGCATCCTTTAGAAATTTTGTGGAGATCAACTGCATTACTATTATTATTATGCATTGTATTGAACTAGCACCGGGAGGTCCCACCAGAAACCAAGGACCCATTGTCCCTGACACTGTACAGACACACAGTATAAGTGTCTGTCCTAAAAAACAGTTAAAAAAACAGGAATGGAAACAGCTTCTCAGAGGGGAAGTGAAGATTCACAGGATTCGCTCAGACTTTAAAGCCAGAAGGGATAGTTATGATGATCTAGTTCAACATCCTACAAATTTCAGGCCACAGATCCTCACTCACTGCTGTAACAGACCCCTAACCTCTGGATGAGTTAATAAAGTCCTCAAATTATGGTTTAAAATCTTCAAGTTACAGAGAATTCACCACTAACACTAGTTTATGATTCATGCTTTAGAGCAGGGTTTCCCAACCTATGGGTCACCATTACGTTTCAAAAGGGTCACCAAGTGTCTCCCCAGGTGGCTGTTCCCCTCCCTCCCCCCCATTTTTGAAATGTCTTGGGTCAAGTCTTCCTGAATTGTCAAAATGGGTCCCCATCTGGAAAAGGCTGGGAACTGCTGCTGTAGAGGAAAGTGACAAAGCCACAGGGGAAAGATTCCTTCCTGAATCCAAATATAGTGATGAGCTGCTAGACCATGAACATGTGGACAAGACCCACAAGCCAGACATCTGGGAAAGAATTCTCTATGGTAACTCTGAGTTCTCCCCATCTAGTATCCAAAATTCAGAAGTTGGAGGTTTTTCTACTAGCAGTTACTGGTGGACCACCTATCATCATCAGTTCCATCATACCATCAGCTCTATAAACTTACCAAGCTCAGTGTTGAAGCCAGTTTGGCTTTTTGCCCCCCACACTGCACCCCTTGGAAGGCTTTTCCAGCACTTCACTCCTCTGTTGGTTAGAAACCTTCATCTAATTGTGCCTAAACTTGTTGATGATCAGTTTATAGCCATTTGTTCTTATGTCCATATTGGTATTTAACTTCAATAATTCCTCTCCCTACCTCGCATTTATCAGTCTGATGAATTTATATAGGTCTGTCTTATCTCCCCTCAGCCTTCTTTTGGTTAGGCTAACCAACCAAGTTCTGTATCTCTTCACATAAAGTAGGTTTTCCATTGCTCAGATCATGCAGGAGGCCATTGGCAGACATTGTATCACCCAGACTTTGGGTTGCTTTTGTTGAATCTTAATCAGAACCACTTCAGCACAACTGACAATTATAACACATGGGCATCATGTAAAGCCCACTGAAATCAATGGCAGTATTCTCAATGATTTCAGTGGGCTTTTGACTCAAACTTGTAACTACTCACAATAATGTTTTTTCTTATATCAAAACTATTAAGAACCAAGACACATTGTGTGGGTCAGTTTTAGGTGCAATATTGAAAAATCCATGAGTTTGGACTTTGCAACTCCAGAAAGAATGCTCACACAACAGCAAAGTCAGTGTTGCTTCCTCACAGAACTAGAAGAGAATCAAACCAAAGTTCTACCCAATCTCAGGTGCTCTGTGGAAGGCAAAGGACCTTTCTTTAGATCTATGCTTTCCTGTACCGTACTGCTACAGGAAGAGAGGGAATCCTAGTGGCTGGTTTTAGACCCCCTCAGAGTTTTATAGTTCATAACCAACCCCGTAAATCCAGAAACCAACAGGAAACTAGAAAATATCTTGGGGTAGGTCTATACTATGGGTTGAAGTCAATCTAAGCGACACACTTTGAGTTGCGTTATTAACCTCACAAATCGATATAACAATCTATTTATGATGGGGATCCACACTGCACTGGCCAATGGGACAAACTCTTCCATTAGCTCTCCTTACTCATCTCATTCTGGTACATCAATCACAGCAGTATCAATCTCAGCTGTACTGGAGAAAAGCTTTTGGAGAGCTGATGTCATGCTCCTAGGAAGACACCCTTAGTAAGCATGCCACTGCAGTCTGTCTGTATTAGTGTCAATCATCAAATGGTTTTAAGGTATTGGTTCATGCAGAGCATAGAGCAAGGATTTAATTTTGAGGTAACAATGGCAAGGTCTGCATCCTAAAAGAAAGGCTGCAGCTGCCTTTCAAGGCATAGGTGGCAAAAAAGCTGAGTTATTGCAGCAGTATGATTGTTGAACAACAGCTAGTGGTCTAGAATCACCACTAAGTTTCCAGCCCTGCTCACTAATGGTAGATGAATTTCCGCCATCAAAGAGGATGTTATCTCTGCCTTCGCTTCTGTCTGTTTCCCTCAAAGCACCATTACCACTTCCTCTTCTCAGGATTGAGCCTCAGCTAGTCACTGCTCATCCATGCACCAAGCTCAGCTAGCCACTGACTGAGACATCATCTGAAATGAGAAGACACCCAGATACCCAAAGATGCGTGACAGGCTGGTGGTTAGGATATGCATGTGGGATGTAGCACCTGCTTTGAATCACATGCCTTAAAATGTAGCCAAGTTTTCACCACCAGCCCTTCCAGCAAGAACCAAACAATTTGGGGGCTGTACTGACCTTCCATAGCCAACCCCACAGTATGGCTTTGACCACCTTCCAACACCACACCTTCTCTCCCTCCTACCTCGTCTCACAGCCACACTGAAGACTTTTCATAGTGTGGCTGCCAGTAAGTTCTGCACCTGAAAAAACTGCCACAGATTTGGGTGAATTTAGCACGTAATATAGTTAGACTCAAGTGATTATGCTCAGTTCACACTAAGGATGTGAAAGGTTAACAGGTAAGCATCACCCTTAATGAGTTATGCTTATCATTCCAGTTAACTGATAGAGGCAGGAGCAGCTCACTGCAAAACAGCCACTATCCACAGCCCCTGCCTGCAAGGGAGATGGGGAACTGCTCCAGCCTGCCCACCCCACACATCCCTCCTTTAATTGGTTAACCAGTTAAACATCATATTTAACCAGTTAACCAATTAAATGAAATTTTACATCCCTAGTTCATATGCCAGACAGGTGTAAATATGATCAATGTAAAACTAACAGCTAAAGATATTTAAAGGCAATTGGGAGGTGATACACAGTTAAAAAGGTAAGTAGTGTTTGTATATCAGTACTAATTATCAAACAGGATGCAAGTCTATATACATGTTTGAAAAGGTACCTCAAAGCCATAGGCATTACAATGCATCCTTAAAATTACTGCTTAGGAAATACAAGAAAAAGTAGTATTTTGTATTTCTATAGTGTCCTCCTCCCGAGATAACACAGCTTTTTTATACATGAATTATTTTAACCTCATATCTTCCTTGTGAGATGTGAAAGTTATTATTTTTATTGCACAGCTGGCAAAAAAGAGAACATGAGAGCGCAGCTATACTAGGAAACTAATCAGACCAACAATTACAGTCAGCAGCAATAGGTCCTCCCTGAATCAGGGCTGAAAATGGTTTCAAAGAAGACCATACATTTCTAATTACCATAACCTCAAGATTAATAGAAAGTAGTTTCTGGTACTTCACCTGTCTTTCTGAACCACTACAAATTTTCCAATCACATGGTCATCTATTTTCCTCTTCCCTGTTCCAGTGCCACTTACCCACAACAGGAAAAACCAACAGCAGAAACAGTGAAAATGAGTGCTAATCAATGCACAAAATAAATTATATAGAGGAAAAATAATTCCTTCTCTCCCCCCCCCCCCCGTCTCTTTCAAATAGCATATTACTTATAAAAAAACCAGAAGATAAAATATTTTCAGACACAACTGTGTGACACTGAGCTGCTGAGACACGATGCCACTGTTTTCAGCACCACCATTCAGAGTGTTCTTGAAGAGCTGGTAGCTCTGTTTACAGAACAGGAAGACCCTCTCAGACAGCCACTGTCTAAAGGCCAATTTCCTGCGTGGTTACAGAGGCAAGGCAGAAGCCAGGCAAGGAGAAGGGTCAGAACTCCAGTTCAGGGCTCCCGCTGCTGCTTTCCACCTAGCAGGCTCTCACGGGCGGACAGAGGGTGTGGTTTTCCATGGCGTTACAGCACCTGGCCGCTTTCGTGCCAAGGACTAATCCCGAGTTCAATTACCTTTGAGGCCTGGGTCAATCTACCTGCTCCGCCCTTGCTATCTCAGCCATGCACATTAAAGCGCCACCTCCCTATGTTTGTTAATATAATGTTATCGTGCGAGTCTAGCTCCCCACACGCCCTCTCGAGGAGATACCAGCGCGGAGCCGAAGCCCGAGGAGCAGAAGCTGCTCAGCAACAGTCCTGTTTATTCCCCGGCAGTATAGCAGCTCTCCCCAGCAGTGCACGTGTAACCGCTACACCTGGCTGTGCTGCTCCACGCGCAGGGGAGCACAGGAAGGCGCCCCCGGGGAAGCTGCAGGTGAGCCGGGAACCGATGTCCCGCCTGTGGCTCTGCATGGCCGCTCTGGCTGCTCTGCGGGGCAGCTGGAGCCGGAGGCGCCTGTCCCTGAGGGGGACCCGCTGCTGCCCTCGCTCGCCTCTTACCAGGGAGAGCACTTTGTAGGTGTTGGTATCCTTGCCGCCGCCTCTGGGCGCTGCTTTCTCCGGCTCCTGGGCCAGCTCCATGGCTGGGATCATGGGCACCGCCGCCTGCTGCTCCACGCCGTGGCTGCGCTTCCCGAGCAGGTTTCCATCTCCCTCCATCGTTCCCGCTGCGTTGGGGCCCGGCCGCCGCTATTAATAGGGCGACAGAGCCGCTCCGGCCCCGCCTCCCTCCCTCCCTCCAGGCCGGGAGCCAGCTCCTGCTGCTGCCTGGGCCCGGGGAGACGCCAGGGCGGCTCCTCTGCCTGGGGGCGTGTTGTGATCCGACAGCGCTTCTCCCCGCGTCTCTGGACGCTGCCCCCTTTCCTGCTCTCCTCTGCACAGACTCCCCCGCCGCGCCTGCAGGGGTGAGATAAGGAGGCTCCAAAGAGACGCGGGGAGAAGGCGGAGGGTGGCTGGAGGCTGTTACTCGGGAGAGCCAGGCCGGGTTTCTTTGCGGCAAGAGAAGCTCTCCCTCCTCCCCACCCCGAGCCCTTCCGGCTTCCCCCGCAGCCTGGAGCTCTGGACACCAGGGGTCAGCAACCTATAGCTCGAGAGCCACATATGGCTCAGTAGGGAACCAAATATGGCTCCCTTGTCCTTCCCAAAATACATGAAACTTTTTTAATTAAAATGAGAACTGTATTCAAAATGTTAAAGAGGTGTAATTACTCGTCAGGTTGGTCTTGTTTTGTCTCTTTCACCTTTAACCAGAGGTGAAAGTAAGGGGTACCCCAGTGAAGAACCAGCTGCAGTGTGGCAAGAGTTGGCTGTGGCATTCTGCTCCTATAATGGGCTGGATGAGGGCACACTCTAGGGGACCAGCGCACAGTGAGAGCAGCTAGTGGCAGCAGATGCCTCTATCTGGCCACAGTGGCGCGGCTCCAGTCCCCATCTGATTGGCACAGTTTGTCCCCAGCTCCTGTGCCCCTGGGGTAAAGCCGACAGCCCAACTCCAGTGGCCCCGTAACTGCTACAATAGCCTGCTGTGGTGGCCTGGCTTGGGGTCTGACTGCAGCAGTGTGGACAACAAGGCCCCAATGGGGCCCAACCCCAATCTAGCCACAGCATCCTATCCCTGACCTTGATCCGGGGCGGGCTCCATAGTCCAGCACCCATCTGGATGCAGGAACGGCTGGCGGGGCTCACCCCTGTCACAGCATGAGTAGGAGGAAAGGCCACAATCCAGCTCAGCAATCCTGGGCCAGCCCATTGTCCAGCCACTGCTGTTTGGGTGCAGCAGATCAGCCCCCAGCCAGGTAAGGTAATCTGGCCCCAGGGTCTCCCCACATACTCTTATTTTCCACCCCTAGTGCCCTGCCCTGCCTCCTGCACTGAGCCCCTTATACACTGCAACCCTGACTCCTGTGTCACCACATCCCGAGTCCCCTGCCATAACACTTCTGCATCTCCCACACACCAACCCTGTGCCCTGATCCCCTCATACATCTCAACCCAGACTCCTGCACCCTCACATCCCCTGCCATAAGACTGACAGAAGACAGCCTGAATGCATGCATGAAGCTGGATTTGACAATTTATGATGTAAACTTCAAAGTATTTAATGAGACTTCTGCCGCTGAATCTTTTTGCATATTAAAGTCTGTGATTACAATGTTTCGTTTATGCTATTATTAATCATCATGTCAACTATCGATAATATTAAGTTGTATATTTTCAGTCATGCAAACAGGCACTTTTATATTGGCTCTTTGCTGACCCCTTGTTTTGAATTTTGAAGTAGTTTGGCTCTTTGGTTTGAAAACATTGCTGACCCCTGATCTAGGGATTCCTTTCCATTGATACAACATAGAATCTCCTCAAGCTCCCACCAGCTAGCCTGGAAAAATTACACATTATCCTTGAGTGCCTCTAAGAGTCAATGCTTCTCCACTCACAAGCACAAAGTCTGAGTGTAGAAAAGAAAATTTAAATGATAGGAGGGAAGTCACCCAACATTAATTAGGGAAAATTCCACAAGCAGGATTTATAATACAGCCGGTCCCCGAGTTGCGAACAGTCGACTTATGACTGTTCACATGTACGACTGAAGCTGTCGTAAAGGGCAGACCCTGAGTTACAAATGCGATCCGCACTTACGAACAGCACGGTCGCGTGTAACTCTATGGGGTCCGACTTATGAACAAACCGAGTTACAACCAATTGCTTGGTCCATAACCGGTTTGTAAGTCAGGAAGAGGCTGTAATAAAACTGTGAGCAGGCCACCCACTCCAGAGTGTGTGGGGAAGTGTCTGCCTCATATTCTTGAGTTCTTCAACCAAAAATCCCATTTCTATGCCCATCTCTGATCTTTTACCATACTCCACTCACAGTTTCAGTGGGGTAGCCAAGTTAGTCTGTAACTGGAAAAACTTAAACAACTAATAGTCTAGAAGCACCTTAAAAACTAACAAAACATATAGGCTGTGTCTAGACTGCATCCCTTTTTTGTAAAAGAGATACAAATTAGACTTATCTCAATTGCAAATGAAGCGGCGATTTAAATCTCCCTCGCTTCATTAGCATAAAAATGGCTGCCGCGTCTAGACTGGCGCTTTTTTCCGGCAAAGCTCTGAGCCGGAAAAAAGTGGCAGCCATTTTTATGCTAATGAAGCAGGGGAGATTTAAATCCCCACTTCATTTGCAATTGCAATGTCTAATTTACATCCCTTTTACGAAAAAGGGATGCAGTCTAGACACAGCCGTAGATGGTATCATGAGCTTTCTTGGGTACAACTTACTTCTTCAGATGAATGGAATTTTAAAAGTCCCGTTCCAAAATAAATAGGGGATGGGAGGGAGAAGGAAGGTGGGGAAATAGTGAATTAAAGTGTTCATGTTACATGAAGCTGATAGAGACTGTGCAAATTGCTCTTTAAGTACCCATTGTTTGTTTAAGTCATTAGGATGTGGAAGGTAGTGTGCTAACCAGGTAATGTCTTTATTAATACCAATGTGATGGGTCCCAAACCTATAAATGAAATTAAATTCCAATGCTTCCTTGTGTATTTGGCTTGTGGGATTGTCCTGAAACAACACAGTGACTTTGAGATCCATTGAGCTGAGTCAGAAAGGACACTAGGTTTCAGAGGAGTATTTTGTGTGAGTTCACCTCCCACCCGGGGAAGAAGACACCTTGCATTTGCTTAGCCCAGCTGCCCCAACCAGTTGCTGCTCCTCATTGCCATGCCAATGGCTTGTTCTGTTCACTCCCTCACCAGTCACTCACTTGCCAATTAACTGTCAATCACCTTCTGTTGCCACCTGCCTCTCCACTGTGACCTCTACACATCAATGTCAGTAATTTTCAGCTCTTTGAAGGCAGGACAAAAAACACTGCCCCATCTCAAGTAATTTCAGCTCTGAGTAAACATTTAAAATAACAGTGGCTCCTAATGAAGCTTATTTAGGTCTTTCTTTAAACATTGGGGAGGAACAAATTAAATCAGTTTGGGGACCCCTCCTCACCAGTCCACCCCTCATACTCTCAGAGAGCTCTGAGAGCCCAGCCCCTGCTTAGCAAGATTCTTTTTTCTAGCTGGCTACATCTATACAACAGAGTTTTTGCGCAAAACAGCCATTTTTGTGTAAAACGCTGTGGAGCGACCACACCTCAATCACGTTTTTGCTCAAGTAAATATACAGTAAATTAAAAGAACAGAGAGATTTTTGCGGTGTATATATTCCTCTTTCTAAGCTGCTGCTTTTTTTTTTTTTTTTTAATTAGTATTAGCAAATGTTCCTGGAAAACAGTATGTGAAGAAGATGGGCAGCCAGGTTAAGAACTATTTAGAAAAGCTAGACACACACAAATCCATGGGTCTGGATTTAATGCATCCAAAGGTACTGGGGGTACAGGCAGTCCCCGGGTTACGTACAAGATAGGGACTGTAGGTTTGTTCTTAAGTTGAATCTGTATGTAAGTCGGAACTGGCGTCCAGATTCAGACACTGCTGAAACTGACCGCCAGTTCTGACTTACATACAGAATCAACTTAAGAACCCCAGGCGTCCCCAAGTCAGCTGCTGCTGAAACTGATCAGCAGCTGATTCCAGGAAGCCCGGGGCAGAGCAACTGGGGTGCTGCTAGGTTGGTCCAGTAGTGCCCAGAGCGGTGCTGCAGGACCAATCGGCAGCGCCCCAGCTGCTCTGCCCCAGGGTCCACAACAAAAGCCTGGTCTGCTGGGGGGGGGGGGGGGGCGGGGCGGTGG